AACACTCATTAAACTTTGACTACAGTGGGCCTAGGGTGAGCACCTAAACCAAGCCAATAGGGAAAAAAACTATCCCACTGAACCATATATTACTGAATCACTAACTATAAAATCAATCTTATTCAATATGGCAAATATACAAACCACAGGACATGCATATGCTTCAAGTAAATGCAATATTTATAATATTTATGATTTACATGTTGGATTTAGTTGCTGACATAAAATGAGTACTATTATACAATTTCTGTGCTGTATGTACATGTGGTTGCTAAGTATGCCAACATACCTCGATGCAATGCTATAATAATATTTGGGCACGGATGGGCGTGTTTAGCTTCGCTGTTAATCTCAACAGAGCTCGATTCTGATTAAATGCTATCGCCCATTGCAGCCTGAGGTATGTTAGAGAAGAATATAGGAGGAACAGCCTGTCTGATAACGCCACAACCGCAGCTTGTCAATGTGACAAACGTCTGCTCTGGTAGGCCAAACACTGGCGTAATGGTCAAGACAGGACAGGGATAAACAGGATATGAAGGAAAAGAGGACTTGAGTTGATTTATATCAGGGAGTGAAGATGAATGTCTTTTGTTCTTAGAAGAGCAAGTGAGTTCAGTATCAGAGCTTGGAGAGCTAACTCCTTTTGGACTTTGGTTGCTCCACCCACTCTTACACTCCTCCCCATCAAGAAAATAAGAGGTAGTCACAAAAACTTCCACATTTTGCATTTTGTGAAACAATTTCCAGTCTGATTGCACAGTAGGCATGGTCAGGAGCCCATTATGAATGGATGTAGGACTCGATATTTTTGATATAGAAATGACGAAGGTAAGGGGAGGAGCTAGAATACTCCCGTTAGTTCAAGGAGACGGTAAGAAAACAAAGGGTTTGTGCGATGTAGAACATGGGGTTGTAGTGAGAGGGGACTGAGGCAGTAAATCACCAGAGGATATTGTTGGTGGTTGTGATGGACACTACGTCAGTTCTACTAGCAATACTAGTGCTTTAGCCATCATTGCCACTACCTTTAATCTTAGTACTCGTTTGATTACACCACCCTTGCGCCTCGCAAATAAACACTTTCTTTTTCATTTCGATTGAGTAACGCTCATCCGTTTTTCCAGGAATCACTATAGGTGGAGTCTGTCTATTGGTTCCACTCACAGCTATTGTTGCAGTGCTAAAGGGGGCAGAGCTAAATGGTGCAGAGGTCATGAGCTTTCCAGCACCTCCCGTGCTTGCAAACAAGAATGAATTACACAGT